GATTGTATGTGTGTTTGTGTGTGTGTTTTGCTGGTGAGTTGTATGAGCTCCTTTTATATTTTAGATATTAATTTCTTGTCAGAGAGGTGGTTTGCAAATATTTTCTGCCATTCCATAGGTTGCCTGATCATTTTGTTTCTTATTTCTTTTGCTGTGCAGAACTTTATATATTTTTTAAATTTTATTTTATCATAAGTGTACTCTTTCATCTTCATCCCCGCATCCACCCCCCCACCCCCACCCCGGTAGCCATCAGTTTGTTCTCTATAGTTAAGAGTCTATTTCTTGGTTTGTGTCTTTTTCTTTGGTTGTTTGTTTCTTAAGTTTCACACATGAATGAAATCATATGGTATTTGTCTTTCTCTGACTGACTTATTTCGCTTTGCATTATATTCTCTAGCTCCATCCATGTTGTTGCAAATGGCAAGATTTCATTCTTTTTTATGGCTGAATAATATTTCATTGTGTGTGTGTGTGTGTGTGTGTGTGTGTATACACCACATCTTCTTTATCCATTTATGTATTGATGGAGAGTTGGCTGCTTCCATAGTTTGGCTATTTAAATAGTGCTACAATAAACATAAGGGTGCATGTATCCCTTTGAATTAGTGTTTTTGTATTTTGGGAGTAAATACCCAGTAGTGCAATTCCCGGATCATAGGCTAGTTCTATTTTAAATTTGTTGAGGAACTTCCATAATGTCTTCCACAGTGACTGCACCAGTTTACATTTCCACACTGTGCAAGAGGGCTCCTTTTTCTCCACATTCTTGCCAAAACTTTTTGTTTTGTGTGTGTGTGTGTGTGTGTGTGTGTGTGTTTTAATTTTAGCCATTCTGACAGATATGAGGTGATATCTCATTGTAGTTTTGATTTGCATTTCCCTGATGATGACTGATGTGGAGCATCTTTTCATGTGCCTTTTGACCATCTGGATGTCTTTGGAAAAATGTCTGTTCATATCTTCTGCCCATCCTGCCCATCTTTTAATTGGATTATTTATTTGGGGGGTATTAGGTTGTATCAGTTCTTTATATATTTTGGATACTAACCCTTTATTGAATATGTCATTTTTAGATATCTTCTCCTATTCAGTAGGTTGCCTTCGTGCAAAGCTTTTTAGTTTGATGCAGTCCCACGTACTGATTTTTTTTATTGTTGTTGCTTGTGTTTTTGGTATCATATTGAAAAATCCTTGGCAAGACCAATATCAAGATTTATCTTTGTGTTTTCCTCTAGGATTTTTATAGTTTCAGGATTACATTTCAAATTTTAGGATTTGTTTTCTATTTCTATAAAAAATACCTTTGGAGTTTGCCTTCGATATTATGAACACTTTAACAGTATCAGTGCGTCCAGTCCATAAATTGGAATGTCCTTTCATTTATTTGTGTCTTCTTCAAGTGCTATGATCAGTGTCATCATCGTTTTCACTTCCTTGGTCAAATTTATTCCTAAGCACTTATTCTTGTTGAGACTGTTATAAATGGGATTGTTTTCTTTATTTTTCAGATAGTTTGCTGTTAGTGCACAGCAATGCATTTGACTTTTGTATTTTGATTTTGTATCCTGCAACTTTATTGAACTAATTTCTTAGTTCTAACAGTATTTTTGGTGAAATTTTTAGGATTTTTCTATATACAAGATGAAGTCATCAGCAAAAAGAGACGATTTTACTTCTTCCTTTCTGATGTGGATGCCTTTTATTTGTTTTTCTTGCCTAACTACTCCATTAGGACTTCCAGTGCTGTGTTAAATAAGGTCTTGTCTTGTTCCTGATCTTAGAGGGAAAGCTTTCAGCCTTTCACTGTTGAGTGTGATATAACTATGGGCTTGCATGTATGGCCTTTATTATGTTGAGGTACATTCCTTATATATTCACATTATTGAGAATTTTTATCATGAACGAATGTTGAATTTTGACAAATGCTTTTTCCGCAGATAGTCTGCATCATCTGTGCATCATTTTTAAGATGACCTTATGATTTTTATATTCTAGTCTATTAATATGGTGTATCATATTTATTTACTTACATATGGTAAGCCATCCTTGCATCCAGGGATAAATCCCATCTGACATGATGCATAATCCTTTTAATGTGCTGTTGAATTCAGTCTGCTAGTATTTTGTTGAGAATTTTGCATCTGTATCCACTGGGGATATTAGCCTGTAGTTCTCTCGTCCTGTCCTTGTGTTGGTATCAAGGTAATGCTGGCCATTTCAAATGAATCTGTAAGTGTTCTCACATCGTAAGATTTTTGGAAGAGTTTGATACTGACTGATATTAATTCTTTAAATGTTTATAGAATTCATCCATGAAGGCATCTGGTCATGGGCTTTTCTTTGTTGGGAGGTTTCTGATTACTGTTTCAGTCTCCTTGTTCACTCTTGGTCTATTCAGATTTTCTATTTCTTCTGATTCAGTCTTGGTAGGTTGTATGTTTCTGGGAATTTATTCATTTCTTTTAGATTGTCCAGTTTGTTGGCATAATTGTTCATAATTGTCTTATGATCTTTATCTCTCTGTGTATCAGTTGTAATGTCCCCTCTTTCATTTATAGTATTATTTATTTGAGTCGTCTCTTTTTTCCTTGGTAAGTCTAGCTGAAGGTTTATGCATTTTGTTTACCATTTCATAACACCAGCTCCTAATTTTGGTGATCTTTTCTATTATTCTTTTCTTTATTTCTGCTCAGATATTTGCTATTTCCTTCTTTCTGTTAATTTTGAACTCTGGGCTTAGTTCTTTTTCTGGTTCGTTGAGGTATAAAGTTCGGTTGCTTATTTGAGATCTCTCTTTTTTCCCTTAATGTAGGCATTTACCACTATAAGTTTTCCTCTTAGAACTGTTTTTGTTATATCTCAATAAGTTTTGTTTTGTTGCTTCCATTTCTGTTTGAAGATATTTTTTATTTCTCTGTTGATTTCTTCTTTGATCCAATGGTTATTCAGAAGCATGTTGTTTAATTTCCACATCGTTATGAATTTCCTAGTTTTCCTTTTTAAAAAAATTGATTTCTAGTTTCATACCACTGTGGTTGAAAAGGTTACTTGGTATGATTTCAGTATTTTTTAAATTGCTAAGACTCGTTTTGTGGTCTAGCATATGATCTATCTGGAGAATGTTCCAGGTGCATTTGAGAAGAATCTGTATTCTGCTCTTGGATGGAATATTTTGTATATTTCTGTTAGATCCATTTGGTTTAAAATATAGTTCAAGTCCAGTGTTTCCTTACTAGCTTTCTGTCTGGATGCTCTGTCCATTGTTGAAAATGGGGTATTGAGTTCCCTACCTTAACTGTATTGCTGTCTATTTCTCCCTTTATATCTATTGATATATATTTAATACATTTATATATATAACTTTATATATAATTATAGGTAACTATATATATATAACTTTGTATATATATAATTTTTTTTTGTATATATATATAATTTATGATATTTCTTTGGTGGTGGCATGTTTCCCTGATTCTTCACCATCCCTCTAGACTAATATAGATATCTGTACATTTGAAGACACAATCACCTCTTCCAGACTTTATGGACTGTCTTTGGTTAGGAAAGACCACTCTCCCTATGGGTGGGGACAAGCTGGAGCATGTTGGAACCCTGGCTCTAGTGGTACAGAGCACCACATGTAGGGGCTTGTCCAGATCCAGTGGTTGTGATGTCCATCTTCTCCGTCCACGACAACAACTACATGATTCTAGACAAGGACTGCAGAGGGATTGCATGGCTACAAGGCCTGTTGGAGTCTGCAGCGGCGCCTTCAGGTCCAGTGGCTAGGGACCAGCGTAGGCAGCAGTGGTGCCCAGAGCTGGTGATGTGCAGATACTCAGTTGTGGGGAGCACCTACAAATGCCTTGTAGTGGCAGGGGTTGGACCAGACACAGTGGCGGTGGCCTTAGCCAGCAGCAAGGTACCATAGCCAACTGCAAATACACTAGCAGCCACAGGGGCTCCAGCTGTCCGCATGTGCTCCATAGCTGCGGAGTCCCCTGTAGGCACAGCAAAGCAGGATACAAGCCAGTGATGGGAGTTAGCCTGGGGACACGCACATGCATAGTTAGAGGGGCTGGCTGCAGGGGAGCCCGGCAGTGCAGGCCAGTGCCAGGAGACAGGGCTGGATCCAGGCCCATCAGCAGCTGCAAGGGCCCTGGCTGTTGGCGTTCACTCTAGTGACTGCGGGATCTCTCTGTGGGTACCAGCATGTGCTGGCAGAGGCTGGCAGGGGAAATCAGGCCAGCAGCATGTAGGTGCACAGGTGGAGGGGAGCCAGTGTGGTGAGGGTCATCCTCCAGCATCCAGGCTGGCGTCTTGTACTCTCACAGCCACAGAGGCCAGGGCTGGCTGCTGGCACGGATGGTAGTTCTGGAAGGGATTGGGATTGGGGACAGTAATGGGGGCATTCGGTAGCTGGTCTCCGTGATTGGGGAAACCTTTTGGGGAACCCTCAGTGGTGAACTCTGTAGGGGTCCGCAGTGGCTGTGTCAGTCACTGGTTTCTTCAGTGGCAAAAGCTGCTGCTGTCCTCTGCAAAGCAGGTCACTGGGAACCACAGTCACCTCTGCTGTGTGGCTACTCCAGGTAGCTCTGCTTTCTTGTTCCTAGCCACCTCTATATGTCTCAGCCTTTTCAGTCTCTGTGGCATGAGACCAAACTGGGTCCTTTGTGCAATGCCCCAAAAGACTAGGGGAGCTAGTCATAGTTCCTGCTCTCCCTTGGCCTGTGAGAGAACCCTTGATGCTGGGCCCCCAACTCTGTGTGGTTGTTCTCACGTTTTTTGTTCCATTGTGTTGCTTGCTGAAGTTTAAGTGGACCCTGAACTCTATGAGAGCCATTTCTGTTTGTGGACAGCTAATTGTTGATCTTTATGGGTGGATGGAGGGTGGGGTCTCCGACTCTGCCACAGTGGTGAGGACACTCAGCTTCATTTTTAAAATTTTTTTTAAGACAAGCTCAGGCTAGTTTTATTAAAGAAAAATTTTGTGTGATTTACTTTTCACCATTCTGTTCTGGCATGTTTCTAATGCTATCAGAATCACCTGGATCAATGAGAGCCAGTGTGCATATTCTGTAGTATTTCCCACATGCCTTGCCCAACTCAGTATTATTGCCACTGTAGTGATGGACACCAGTTTTGGCCAACATGGCGGAGGGGTCTATTTCAGATCTCAAGGCTGGGCGGTTGCAGGTGAGGATGACCAGTTTCGCTTTGCCATGTCTGACCATTTTCAGAGTCTGCTTGTACCCCAGCATGTACTTTCCACTTTTCATAACGAGTTGGAGCCTAGAATTGATCAACTCCAGTAACTTTTTTGTCTTCTTTGTGGCCACCATCTTCCTGCCTTAGGTGTGGAGTGGCCCCAATCTAGAACATACAGAGGACAGGACAGGAAGCTTAGGATTGGAGCTCAAAATGGTAACTTGCTGGGCTCCCCATGCCGCCTAGCCTCAGCCCTGCAGAACCCATCACCAAGCCGGCTTATTCTTAACAGTAACTTGGCTCCTCTTCTAAAAATAAGACATTTGTTGGGGAGCCTGGGTGACTCAGTTGGTTAAGTGTCTAACTTTAGCTCAGGTCATGATCTCATGGTTTGTGGGTTTGAGCCCTGCGTCAGGCTCTGTGCTGACAGCTTAGAACCTGGATCCACCTTTAGACTCTGTCTCCCTTGCTCTCTGCCCCTCCCTCACTCATGCACTGTTTCTGTCTCAATAAGCATCAAAAAATAAGACATTTGTTTTCTAGCATGCTTTTAAAATCATCTTATTATAGAATTAATACAGACTAATTATAAAAAATGGAATGTATAGAAAAACAAAGGGAAGAAAATGAAGCTATCTGTAAGCTAAAATTTGGGAATAGCTACTGTTAAATGTGGTACATTTTTCTCTCAAAGTGCTCCTGTTAAAATATAAATTTTATGTAGTTTATACAGATCTTGTTTCCCAAATGAAACATAATGTGAATTTTTTAAAGTGGCAAAATATTCTTTATAAAGTCTATTAAACATTTTTTAATGTTAATTTTTGAGGCAGAGAGAGAGAGCACGAGTGAGCACAAGCAGGGGAGAGGTAGAGAGAGAGGGAGACACAGAATCCGAAGCAGGCTTAAACCCCTTAAATCCTGACTCTCTGCTTAAACCCACGAATTGTGAGATCATTGTCTGAGCCAAAGTCAGACGCTCAACTGACAGAGTCACCCAGGCACCCCCACAAACTCTATTTTAATGACTGCATGGGAATTTATGTACACAACCATTAAATACTTCTTACACATCTTATTATGTCAATTTCTAATTGTTCACAGGTTTAAGTACAAACTTGGCGTGGCTTCCAGGACTGTTCTTAAAAATTACCTTGCCTCACTGCCGGAGGCCCGCTCCAGCAGGTCCAGGGGTCCCTGAAGGATGGACGGTGTCGGCGAGAGAGAGTAAGAGAGAGCCCTGAGATTCTTTCTGATCACCAGGCAGGTGTCTCTGTCCTGTCGGTTTTGGTGTCTTTATTTAAAGGTCCAATGACAACATGAGATCAGAAAAAGGAATGTTTACAATGGAAAGCTCTTTGTGATAAAATATTTTGAAAAGTATATAAGAACAAGTTTTTCAGAAATATTCTTGCAGAATTACTCAATCACAGTGAGGTTGAGTAAATCTTACAACTAAGGAAATAGCAGGATGTTCTTAGTGAAAAACAGGATGACATACATATTTGTTCTAAGTTAATAATGCTAAGGTTAGGACATAGGTTAAGTTGTATATAGATAGGCTTGGAATCATTTTGTCTGACTCACAAGAGGATGAATGTTTTTGAGCTGGTTAATAAGTTGTTTGTGGAAACCTTTTTGACTTGATGCTGAATGTGTAAACACCATGGAAGCCCTAAATGTGTCAGCCCTTGTTTGTGGGTTATGTTTTAGCTACTCTTATCTATCCTTATCCCAGCCGCCAGTGTAAGGAAGGGTGTTTGCAGAAAGAAGGCGTTAGGGAAGGGACTGCCATCCATCACCAGTTAGAAAAGGTGTAGGTATGAACTTAAGTTCTGCCCTTATCTGTTCCTTAACTTAAATTAGGCTCTTTGTCTCGGGGCCAGGCTCAATTGTAACTCCTGTGCTCTTAGCCCCCTTTATTATCTAAGTCTGATCGGCAAGGCCCATACGAAGAGCCTTTTGACAATCATCCACAGTGCTTTCATCTAAAATCTCTTTTGAAAAGACAAGAATATGCTTTTCCTTATGAGGAATCTGTGTGGGGAATTTTCGGTCTGATCTGGAATATTGTAAGGCCTGGTCAAGACCCGCAGGCTTATTTCCAACACGAGCCAGTAGTAGCAGAAGGAGACACCAGTTTTCGTTTCTGATGGCAGGAGCTGTGCAAACACTGCCATCTCCTCGCTGTGACTGTCATCCAGTGAGGCTAGTGCAGCTCCCAGCACCTCACCTCGTGCTTTTCTCCTTCACATTCTAGACTTCAGCTATATGTAGTTCCCATGCATTGTATTCTCTCTTATCTCCTGGGCTCTGCCACTGCTCATCATCCCGAGACATTTTTATTCTTTTTCCTCTCCATTCCCTCTCTCTACTTCTCCCACTCTTTTTTTCTAATTAACACCCACTAATCTTTGATGAAGGGAGGGTGTGTAGATAGAAAAATAGAGGGAGGCCTAGGATGAAGTCCTTGATACCTCATTTATAAAAGCAGAATACCAGGAGAAGGATGTTAAAAAAAAATGAGAACTGGCCCAAAACCAGGAGAATATAGCATCACAGAAAGCAAGGAAATGTCAATATTTATAGACCAACAGAACAGAATCGAGTCCATAAATAGACCTATGCATATACTGCCGATTGATTTTGACAAAAGAAATAAGGTAACTGAGGGGGGAAAAACTCTTTTCAACAAAGAGGGGCTGGAATAACCAAATATCCATATAGAAAGGAAGAACCTTAACTTTGACCTCACACCACATATAAAAACTCAAATAAATCATGGACCAAAATGTAAGCATTAAACTACAAAACTTCTAGATGAAAACACAGAATATAATCTTTGAGATTCCAGAGTGGGCAAATAATTCTTAAGACACAAAAGCATGAATCATAAGAGAAAACATTTCATAAAATGAGCTTCATCAGAATTAAAACTTCTTGAACTCCATTAAGAAAATGAAAAGAGAAGCCATAAAGTGGGGGAAAAAACAGATACATATATGCAGCCCAGGATTTATTTGGAATGTAGAGAACACTTGCATCTCAATAAGACAAACAGCCCATAAAAAATAAGCAAAAGATTTGAACACTTTATTCAAAAGAGATGCAAATGTTTAATGAGCACACAAGATATTCAGTGTCATTAGTCATCAGGGAAATGAAAACTATAGCCACAAGATACCACAAAACATCTATTCGACTAAAAAAAGACAAGCATTGGTGAGGTATGGAGTAACTGGAACTGTCATCATTGCTAGTAAGAATGTAAAATGGTACAGCCATTTTGGAAACAGGTTGACATTTCTTATACATTTAAACATACATTTGACTTTATGATCCAGCAGTTCCATTCTAAGTATTTATCTAAATGAAATGAAAACATATGCCCACACAAAGACTAATACATGAACATTCATAGCAGCTTTATTTGTAAAGGCCCCAGACCAGAAACATCCTAAATGTCTATCAACAGGTAGATGGATAAACAAATTGTAGCTTGTCTATACAATTTCCATACCACTCCCTAATAAAAAGGAATGAACCAATGATATACGCAATAACGGAAATCTCAAAAACATGCTGAGCAAAATAAGTTAAAAAAAAAGAATACATCATATATGATTCCATTAATATGAAACTCAGAAAAATCTAAACTATACTAACAGTGTGTCCTAGGGTCAGGACGATTGTGGGATTAGATTGGAAGGGGCAAAAGGGTACCCTTTAGGGTGATGGAAATGTTCTAAAATTTGATTGTGGTAGCGGTTGGCACAGAGATGTGTATCAAATTATACTCTTAATATGTGTACATTTTATTGGAAATTATACATCAGTAAACTTGATTTTTAAAAATTGTTTCAATTGCTATTGAGACTTTAGGTAAGTTAAAAACAGAGAAGGGATTTTGGAAATGGCAATATTAGAAGTCATGGGTGACTTCATTAAGAACACTTTCAATTAAGGAGGGATGAAGACCAAAACCTGATTGAGGTGGATTTATTTTGTTTAATATTTCTTTTTATTAAGCTTTTAATTTCAGTATCATTAACATAGTGTTGTATTAGTTTCAGGTGTACAATATAGTCATTCAACACTTCTGTACATTTCTCGGTGCACCTCATGATAAATGTACTATGTAATCCCATCACCTAGTTCACCCATTTCCCCCACCCTCTGGTAACCATCAGTTTGTTCTCTATAGTTAAGTCTGTTTCTTGGTTTGTCTCTCTGTTTCCCCTTTGCTTATTTGTTTTGTTTCTTAAATTCCACATATGCATGAAGTCATATGGTATTTGTCTTTCCTGACTTATTTCACTTAGCGTTATACTCTCCAGCTCAATGTTGTTGCAAATGGCAAATTTTCATTTTTTATGGCTGAATAATACTCCATTGTATATATGTATCACATGTATATCCATTCTTCTTTATCCATTCATCTGTCAATGGACACTTGGGCTGCTGCCATAATTTAGCTATTCTAAATAATGCTGCAGTAAACATAGGGGTGCACGTTTCCCTTTGAAGTAGTGTTTTTGTATTCTTTGGGTAAATATGCAGCAGTGCGATTACTAGATTGGAGGGTAGTTCCATTTTTAACTTTTTGAGGAAACTCCATGCTGTTTTCTAGAGTGGCTGTACCAGTTTGAATTCCAATCAACAATGCACAAGACTTCCTTTTTCCCACATCCTTACCAACACTTGTTTCTTGTGTTTATATTGCCATTCTGACAGATGTGAGTTAATATCTCATTGAACCTTTTTTTTTATGATGGTTTTTGAGAGAGAGGGAGTGCACACAAGTGGGGGAGGGGCAGAGGTGGGCACAGAGGATCCAAAACAGGCTGTGTGCTGACAGCAGCGAGCCCCATGTAGGGCTGAAATTCGTCAACCACAAGACCATGACCTGAGCTGAAATTGGACCAACTGACTAAGCCACCCAGGTGCCCTGATCTCATTGTACTTTTGATTTTAAATTCCCTGATGAATGATGTTGAGCATCTTTTCATATGTCTGTTGGCCATCTGTAGGTCATCTGTGGAGAAATGCCTGTTTGTTTTCTCACCCTTTTTAATTGGATTATTTGGTTTTTGGGGTGTTGTATAAATTCCCTATATATTTTGGATACTAAGCC